TGTGGTGATGATAGAACACACTCTGTGGTGATGATAGAGCACACTCTGTGGTGATGATAGAACACGCTCATGGTCGAAACATTAACATTATTTCGGCATGAGCAATTTTGACTGACATGTGTTCAAACCACAAAGAAAGTAAGTTTGCATCATGTGACTGCATCATAAAAGTGGCATATTTTATATATACATACATTGGAATCTCTTTATAATGAATTTCCTTATATAATGAACACAAATATATGCCCCCCCCCTCATAGAAAACCCAATATAACAAACTAATGTATGCCCCCCACTATAATATACCAATTAGATGTGAATGATACACACAGATTAACTTCAACTGCAGTAACTGTAAAATACTTCATTTTTGCTTGGAATTAATTTTCGCTATTTTTATTGAAGGAATGATTCAGTGAAAATAAAATCTAGCGAATATACATTTTTTCCTATATTTTACATTCAACTCGTCAAAACCATACAAAAACTCGTTTTGGCGAAAATTAATAATTCTAGCTAAAATAAATCATTTTACAGTATTTTACATTGAGTGGGGGGGGGGGCAGCCATTACTGGGTTGCTAACTCTAAAGGTACAATGCATCATGGGTAGAGAGGGCAAAGGTTACGACCTCCACAATGCAGAATACTACACCCCCAAAAAAAGAGTTCATTATAACACATATGCATATAAATCATACAGTGATACCAAGCATATATATGATATCATAAATTATAAAATATATGAAACCTTAGATGACTAAGAATCATACGTTACCTTGAACTGAATTCTATATTTTAAATAGATAAGATTATCTCCATGTTTTATTCAAAGAGTTATTCTGACTGGTGTGAATACATTATTTACAGAAGAAAATACGAACAATAGATGAAAAAATAGATAAATAAACAAATAAAATTCAGCAATACATTTTACTAGTACCTGTTTCCTTGAAATAGTATGCCATTTTCCGAAAATGTGAACCTGGGCTTGTTTGCCAGTGTTGTAATCCAGTTGCCGTTCACAACGCTGAATCAGTTCATCTGCCTCCGCCCTCGTATATAGCTGTACATAATCGCAGTCCAAGTTTTCGCCCTCAATTTTTTTCCAATGCAATTTTGTTTCCGTTAATGGAGACGATGCTTCGCCTGGATCATCTTCGTTGCCATATATACGGTGGTGCTCCAACTGATTTTTTCCGATTTTTTTCGTTTCATCGTTCTCATCAGCGTGGACACGGTTGTGTTCTCGCCGAGACTCGTATGACACTTTCCGACCATCTTTCTCTCCGCATTTTGTATCAGATTCAAGTGTACTGACACTGCGTTCCCCAGTCCTATGCTGTTTTGACGGCGTGTCGGGTACGTCTTGAGTAGTGCGTTTTCTCACAACAAATGCATCCATATCACTGACCACGCAATGACCGGTAGAAGATTTAAAACGAATGCCAAATAAAATTAAAATAGACTACTGATTGTGGGGTTGAATAATGTCCTAAAATCACAACAAGATCTCGAACCTTGGTCCAATCATACAATCAATTTGCGCAAATATCGTTAGGGCAAACACGGCCGCCAAAACATGAAAGTACATCATTCAGCGAAAACTCATCGGTGTTTTGGTTTTCGGTCAAAGGTCACAAACGTGTCGCGTACGGTCAATAGAGGGCGTTGGCAACTAAGCGTCGGCAATACACTTGCAGTATTACAAGTAATTGATGGGGAGTTGATTACAAAATATCATAAACTTACAAGGTAAAAGTTACCAGGATGTAACATTAGCGAAGCCCATACAACGAGTACCGTTGGTACGAGAAGGCATGATACTTTGTCGCATGTGTGCATGCATGTGCCAATAAAATTCGTTTGCGAATGTTGGTAGAAATCGAAAAATGATTTGTTATCAACTTTAAGTGCGGAATTCAATGAATCCGATAAGTAAACTTCCCCTGGTCACACATGCACTGAAGACTATTATTAAAATACTGTTTAATGTTTCTGACAACGAGTTGGAGTCCACGTGAATAAACGTACCATTTTTTTCTTGTACTTCGCTACATGGGCTTCGCTGACGCTACGTTCCGGTAATTTTAGAGGCATGGCGAGTTTTTGAAACCCTGTGAAATTGATAACTTTAGTACTGGCGGGATAACATATAAAATTAATTATGAAAATAGATATTTAAAACGCTAGCGCGGGAATTGAGTAAAAACGTAAAGGCTCATGGGTAGACGCGTGTTTGTAAACAACGACACGCTATGGCCGTCTGCCGCATGCGCAGGTGACGACTCTCCGGTTTTAAAATCATATTTTTACGCTGAATCGAATGCCTCCCATAAATATATACAATAATACGCGATAAATGCACTTTCCTGGCGAAGTAAAACATTTATTTTTTTATTTTTTTCTCAAGTTGTAGGAATTGGCCTAACTATTCTGGGAGAGATGATAAGAGACTACGCAACATATGGATAAAATAACCCCCAGCATAGAGGTCCATACCCGATCGCGGCCAAGTAAACGCCAATTTGAGATTCTAGATTTAAGTTTTTATGTAAAAAGTGTAATTTATGGAAATGACAGTGGAGATAAAGTTGAATGCAATGAAACCGGTTTAGATTAAAAAAAAAAATACTTTTCCGCGATTGGCCACAGAGTCGTAGGCTCCAAGACCGGTTGTCGCGGCAATTGTAATGTGCATGATCAATTCAATACACATGTACTATTTATATGATCTCTGGCAGCTTTAAGTAAACTTCTTACACAAGGCAGTCCGAAAAATAGATGTGCACTAGTTGCATAGTAGCCAGGGTGTAGAAAGTAATATTTCCTATAACATTTTGTTATATACACACACTAGATGTAGAGACTATATTTTAAATAAACTGCCCATCCCATTAATGTTAGACAACATTCGGATATTCCCTGTGTGCGTGAACGTTTTAACATTGTTATCAAAGATAACATGTAATTTGTAATATTGTTTGTTGTTATCACGATGTTAATGTGTCTTGTCTTGTGAATAGCAAGGAAAGTAGCATTTGATGATCATATAATATAATAATGATAATAGAAGTGTAATTACAATTACAATCAGTCACGTGTCTGAGATTTAATGACTGTCATTCAGACGGCATATAATGCAAGGGAGACGGCAATACGGCCACAGGGTCCACCCAATAACTCGGGTCTTGCCATGAACTTTTGTCTTATTTATCCAATGTATAGTCTGTACTTGTGTCATGGGTTTGTCCCCTCACGAGAACATGTTACTTGAGGTTGGTTGAACAAATAAACCTAAATGTGCCACTGCTTATACACATACATTGTTTGCAGCGTATTTAATCGTAGCGTAGAATATTATTATTTTAAAACAATCTCTGTTGAGGAAATGCCAATGACGTTTCGAGTCGCGGATACATAAACAAACACAAACAAAGGAATATTCTGTAAGCCCTTCCTGTGTGGAACTCACTTTGTTGTAATATAGTGCGAATTAAATAATTATATTCTAGTACTAGGAAGTACACTCTCACGAATTCTATTGAATAAATATCACATCATGGGATGAAATGAAGTAGCTATCTACGTGATATGTCAGTTACACAGATTAGAACATGAAACAGTACATTTAGTTGTTTGTAATACAAAGATACAATCCTGAAGAAATAATTGTGTCGTGCACATACTCTGTAGATACAAGCCGCATCACTCTCGAACTGTTTTTTTGCACGTGCTAAAGATGTACATGGATAGCCTAAAACTCCACGTAGACTTATGCAAATCGCATTTAAATGTGACTACAATGCCCAGGGTGTCTCAGTGTGTTGTCCCCGTGCCGACGTCTCGTTGAACTCTTCTCGCTTACAGCTGCTCGAGGGTGCTTCCACACTCAGTGCGACGTGTGTGGGTGATTATTCTGATCCCTCAGGGAAATGTACGTACTTACTCCAGCTTAAAACTCGGTAATGTTTTAATAAGTCTCTGCAATCCAACACATGAGGCCATATATCCAGGATTTGTATATGAATGAACCTAAAGGGTATGTCATTAACATGTTTGCAGTGACAATACCTCAGCTGATGTATGTTTTTAACCGATCTTAGGTTATTATACCACATACAAATTAACTTGACTTTATTGAACGTGCATGTTTTCACAAGCTCTTGACTATTAAAGTGAGGCATACACTAAACATAGACGAATCGCGCGCTGTAAAAAAAATGTCAGAATTCAGAATTTGCATATAATTTTCCGATAACCTTCACAGTAACCGGTGCTCTTGACTTCAAGGTCACTATGTAATAAATTGAAGCGGGTCAGCAGAGCGGTATGCAGATCACAAGTTTCTAAGATGAGGGGACTGATTTCAAGACTGTTATGACGTATGATCTTGATGTGTGTCTTGACAAACCGTTGACATATGTTGCTTCAAGCGCCATAATCGTTCGAATATCATGAAAACAAATATTTCCTTATTTTACACGTTAATTTGCGAAGTTTATAATGTATGCTCGTTGGTGCAGTGAATTATTAAACATAAAGCTCCTGATGAGTGAGGTACTTGTACCTTACGAAACAGTGCTGTCGAGTTTCAATATTCATGTAGTTGTGTATTAATTCCTCTATTACCGTATTTATCTGCTCTACATATACTTTGTATTGAGCTCTTTTGTTTTGGAATAATCGAAATAACGTATAACAGAAATACCATTATATCCCAATGTACCTATACAATTCAAATTCAATGATTATCAAGTATACTAATCAGCAAGAGAAAGATAAGGCATACAACCATGAATTGAGGTCAGGGTGAAAAGACATTAAACAAATTAGTGAAACCTTTCTCAAATATTTGCGTATACATGTACGTACATACGTAAATATGACACAGTAGTAATTGTCCTTTGGTCTTTATACATACCGGCACATCTCGGGTAACCTTTGTAACATAATTACTATATGTGTTCATGATACTTAACAGAATTTCCAAATAGTTTAGTTCAGCTGTTCTATTGGCTTTTATAACAACAGTTTGGAAGTCAACTTCGAAAAACATCTGTTATCGCATTCAAGAAATACATGCATTTTGGGTAGCAATGATCATTGGATCGGATCATGAACAACTGCTTTGTCCCCGTAACCTGTATTCATACGCGTTTGCTTATAGTGCTTCACGTGTTTTATATGTTATACAGTTTCCCTGTGCTTTACACCAGCTGACTTATCACCAACGGCCATACACATACATCAAATTTACATAAGACGGAATGCTACAGGAACTTCAAAGTTAAAATATTAATAGGTAATAATACACAGAGTGTGATTTATGATGCAATATGATAAAAACGTTGCGTCCACCATGGGTATATATTTCGCCAGACGTTATCCCAATCACCCCAGTGGCAAGAAAGTGTTACGCCGATGTAGTTCTCTCCATAAATAATGAAACGAGAAATCTTATATATTTCAGTTTTTTGATTAACAATTCAATCGACATCAGATGCAAGGTGTCATAATGAGACACGATTGTTTGAATAAATAAGTTACATGTAATCCATCAAGTGAGTGCAACTATAGCAATACATATATTTGGCGCTGATTTGTACAACGTAAAACAGATGTGAAACTGAAACCACTAACTTCTGCCGGTAATTTCACTGTGAATTGCGCTACAGCAATACATCATTCAGTATTTTTTTCCCGATACTCAGTGCTTTCAACTCTCATCACGCAAAAAGCTTATTAAAGCATGTTCCGTTTATTTTACTCACATCGTCAATACAAGTATCATACAAGTATTAGCAATCTTGAGAATGCTCTGGTACAAAGGGTGCTTTCTTATTGGTCAATCCATACAGCATGGTCAACCAATCGGGCAGCATTTCGAATCGTTTGAATCTCAAGAGGCGAACAACACTATTTGAAAGAAATATATTGTTTTCCCGTGATTTTAAGCGAATGTCCCCGTCTAAGCTCTGTATCCCACGACAATAGCGATTTATTCTCCAATTAAATGTGATGAATTAAAAGTACAGTTCCATGGTGATAGTAAACAGGCGATTTAGTTGGTACACCAATTACTTTCAATGCACATCTGGGGTACTTCAATTGTTAAAGATCACAGGTTTGCGCCGCTGTTTTGAACGAAGGAGATATATTCGCCCAGTCGAGTAAATCTTTTGGACCCCCAATTTTAAGATGTTCGGCCAACTTTTACGAAAAACCCAAATGTTTGGGCCATTTTGTCCATGTTTTCACCCCAACGAAAACTCCAGGGGGATGGGCAAGATGTACAAGCACCAATTGACTTACGGGCAATGTGTTTCAGTCGATGAGATAACACCACACAATTCTTATTCCGCATTCAAATTAGGTATTTACTATCTATACGTTAATCGGTGT